CGCCCTAAAATACATAATTGTCATTATGTAGCGTGGGGTCCTCTTGCTCCCCGTTTGGGCCCCAGTAAGTGCTACAAGAGCTACGGAGTGGAACAAGAAGACACTTTGTGCTTGGTACATACCAGACAAAAGCTTGCCTCTTGGTGCCTGTTGGAACCTGGGTCTGGCCTCCCCTCCCTGGCTTCAACTTCCTTATATTGGAGTGTCCCAGTAACGACCTAGTCCTTATTTCCAGTATTTTAAAATAACCTAACTGCTGATCTGAGGAAGAGGTGATCAGAATTGTGGCAGGAAAAATACTCTCTTCAGTCATATAACTGATGAATTATAAAAAGGCTTCAGAGTAACTGCTGCTTATTGCAAGGCATCTTCACAGTTTTTACAATAGTGTAACTTTTCCTTTCAGGTCCCAGTATTTCCTGATGAAAGCTTGAGTTAAACTGGTGTCTGTGTTGCTGCTTAGAATTGTCTGCAGCAAGGCTTTACTCCTGTATGTGTATATATATATTCCCCCCCCACACACCTCTTTTCAACACTTGTCACGCATGAGCTATCGCTGACGCTGTAGCTGGCACTGGGCTTACTACCTGTCCCGGCTGACCGGGTCTGCTCAGGGTTTGGCCCCTGACCACAGAGGCTGCCAAGTGGCTAGGGCTGAGGGATGCGGGGCATGGCAGGGGCAGCTGGAGCAGGAGCTGCTGTCGCCCCTGAGCACTGGGATGTACAGTGGATATATGTTAGGGGATGCTGGAAGTGATTTCCAGTGATGCTTTAGTCCAAAGAGGTACCGCAGAGACACAAGCTTTGCTCTACAGCAGTGGGTGCAAGGGGCAGAGGGTTTTGCACTGAGGCTTGATCCCCCAGCGGGAAGCGGACTGGCACCTCAGCAGCTGGAGGCTGGCTCCAGGGAAGAGCAGCAGCTACAGCAAGAAAACAGTTTAAACTGACTACTTGTTTTTCTGCTTTCAGCAGTGAGTCTGTCAGCAGGAAGGATGCTTATTTTACCTGAACAAAAGTCAAAGGGCTCTGGATCAAGTAGGAAGGAAGATGCATGTGCCTCCATCCCTGGTCTGGCATTGGAAACTTGCAGCTGGCACTCGCTAACGCTCCTTGAGGGTGGCACCAAGGCAGGAGAGGGTGCGTGGAGACCCCCTTGATCTGGGTACCTGGGCCATTCACAGCCGCTCCTCGACGTCTGGGGAGCAGGAGCTTGTAAAGGGAGGGGTGTTGGTGTACGGCTTGGTGTTACCGAGGGAGGCTTGGGCTGTGACCCCCATGGCAGGGGCTGCCTTCTGCTCAGGGGGCAGGAGGAGGGGGGGCTGCATGCAGGGCTGCCCTGCTCTCGGGGTTCGGTGCTGAGCCCCAGCTTGGCCTGGAAGGGCCCTGCCTGCTCTGGGTTTGGTGATGCCCCAACCGCTGCCTTCAGGGCACTTTTTTGGGGGGGCAGACATGTGGTGATGGGCAGTGTGATTCACATGGGTTTTTTCTTGGTGGAAGGCTCAGAGCAAGGAAATGCCACTTCCTCGGGATGTTCTGAATATAATACAAAGCCTGACCCACCATATAAACTGAGCAGTGCCACTCTGATCTGTGTTTGGCTCAGCACGGTCCTCTTAGGTTAAGCAGGAAGAGTTTCCCACAAACATATTTTCAGACTGGTCCCTGGACCACTACACCACCACTGTGTGAAATCGGTTCTTTGAGGTGCTGTCGGGTGCAGCTGAGCCCTCATAGCTGTTTTAACATGTGTGGGCACGGCTCGGACTTTCTGTGGGCAGACTTCTGCCTGCTAAGGTTGTATGATCGCCTGTGATAAATTGAAACTTCTATGGCTCTTTCTGGCAAATGCAAAACTTGAGGGTTGTTGGTTTTTGGTTTTTTTCACTACACAGCTTGTTTAGCTTCCAGATGGCAAACCAACATGAAGTAATGGAAGTGCAACACAGTTTTGTTATAATGGATATGTAAACGTGATATATATTCACTGCAATAGACTTATTGCAGTGAGACATATTCCAGCAGTAAC